AGTGTACAAGATATACAGGTAAATCTTCAAGATATACAGTGTAGAAGATATACAATTGTTTTCAAGATTAGTGTACAGCTCAGTACAGCGACTAAGGGAGGAGAATAACTTCTAAATCCTCTCTAATAGCCGATTGCAAGATACACAACTCATATTGAAAATAAAAATAACAAAAGCTTGTCCACAATGGATAAATAATTACGACTTATTCAGTGCGATGAAATCCTTGTTTTATTATCTCAAATTGGTGGGTAACCTTGATAATCATAGCCACTGAACTAACACTAAACAGTTGGCATTTTAATTAATTATTTTCATAGCAGTACGGTAGTCAGTGTAGCGCATAAGAAAATCAGGGAAAAAGCTTTTCAAAACTTATATCAAACAAGACTCAAGTCTCAAGGGCCTTCCATCTATTCACTATTGGCTGCTGAAAAGAAATAGTGTTGCAAGGCACTGAAGGCAGCATCATCAGCCACAGCAGTAATGTCTGGACTTTGTCACTTTATTAGGTACATGTAGGTATCAATTACTATACATACATGCATCAGTATGAACTGAAGCATCAGGCCTAGTGAGTAGTGACAAACCACAGATTTTTGCAATCAGTTTATTTTTATTTTCTTCATTTAACCAAGATTTAAACCAATTTCTTACATATGATAATGCTGGTAGTGGACAGTGGTATGAGGTATCCACGATACTTTGCTGGTCAACTTATAACTTTTAGGACTCAGAAATGAACAAGAAAAAGAGTCTAATAATATATGTTTAAAAATTACTTATTAAAGCAACACTTCTAAAGAATCCAGTGTCTCCAATGTTACAGATGTACAATGAATTTCGAATTTTATTTTCGAATATTACAAAAATAAAATTTTCAATTTTTATATATATTTTTTTTCAAAATGATTTGTTCTGTCAATTGACAATTGATTCATGCATTGAATTTATTCATGCTTCACACAAGTGTGCAAAATTTCAGATCAATTGGACAGGTAAAAGTGTGTCAAAATATCAATAATAATATTTGTAGCTGACAACATTATTTTTCAATTTTTTTAATATTGAAAACAAAATTTAATATTTAAAATTATTTATTCTGTCATTTGATTCATTCATTGTCTCCAATTTTACAAAAGAGTGCAAAATTTCAGATCAATAGGTTAAGTAGAAGTGCCATTATGTCACTTTAGGTAGGTACTCTCATCACAAGAAAAGTTTTCTGGGTTGACAAGATAACCTCTACTTCTGGTCTATCAGTCTATGTATTCATAGCCTATATTGCATTGTTGCTAAATATAACTTATAAGGGATCATGAAAATGTTTTCTCGGAAATCATTTCAACATTTGACATTTAGAGGTCAAAAATTTTGATTATAAGATTTGTATGTAGCAGACAGACAGGCAGATGACAAACAGACAAACAAGAAGTGAAGTTGAAGAAAAGTGTTGTAAAAAGTCTCTGCTTTCAGCTTTGACACTGTGGAACTTTAGAAGCAGGTCATAAATTCATAATAAATTATAATGAAACATTCTAGCAAGATGGAAAAATTAAACCAGTTACAGTCTTACAGTAACTGGGAAGTGAGTTAGGTACTGGAGTTTGGTGAGCTCAGTATGCAGTAAGTCAGTGACGGTGTGACCACTGACCAGATACATGATATTGATAAAGTTGAAATCTTGTGACTCATAATTTTATAGAATACAGATATGAGATAACTATGAGTCTATGTAGCAGATTGGACTTGGCCTTGCCCTTGTACATATTGCAATTTTGCAAGAGATAGATTTAGATTACCAGCATAAATAGTTTCTATTCATGTCTTGTTTTAAAACGTCGCCTTTGTCGGCCACATATCAGGTAAACCATCAATAACACCCAAGTTGCCAAAGGCCACACCCACAAAGACGACACAGAAGTTGGCTACGAGTACGTATTCGGTTAATTTCGGCATTACAGTTATGCACTTACCGTAACTTGTCAAGCTCATCTTGCAGTCTTGCTGCTTGTCACCATAAAAAACACATAATTTTGGTCCTGGACACAACTACGATTTGTACGGTTCAAGTTCTACATATTAATTACGAAGCTACTTAATCTAACGTAAAAAGTTGTAGTTTATGTCAATTTTCAAATATAGGTACCGGTAGCCTACTAGTTTTCACTGACGGCCACTCGGCCAGCAGGCAGCAACATAGAATAGGACTAGCCTACCCTAGTTGTTACTTGTTAGAACTTGAGACTCTATGATAGTATGCTATCTTGAGCGATATTGGCCCGTATGCTAAAAAGGGCACCAGCACTACGAAGTACCACTACGCACTACAACTCTACAAGCCGTAGTGCGACATGGAATGATGGAACACTACGAGTGGCATGCTTAATAGGGCACTAGCACTATGAAGTAGCATTACGCACTACAAGCCATAGTGCGGCATGGAACACTAGTTACACTACGGTAATACGGTTGGTATGTTAAATAGGGCCAAAAGCATAACGCGCACTACAAAAATCTGAAGTGTCCTACACACCGCACTTCACGACGACACTACGGTATATTTCACATTGTTTACTTCGTCAGCTATGGATCTGTTTGGCTTACAGCAAAGGCATCATCGACGTTAGATAATTTTTTTTTTTTCAAAATTTTTGCAGTAGGTACCTACATAGGTAACTGCATCGTCGCAAATTCAAACGAAATGATGGTTTATAAGCGTCATGTGGCTTCATTGAATGAATTCAGAATTAGTAAATCGAAATTATTATTCATTACAATTCTTCTAGATGCATGCACAGCAGTTGCTGTATATTGAATATATCAAGTTTATATGTTCAAACAAATTCAACGTTAACTTTTAAGTATTGAGGAACTGAATGATAAAATAAGTTATAAAAAAAAAATTGAAATAAATATTCTTGAGGCTCCTCAATAGAAATCTTCATAATATAAATTATTATAATGATACGCAGTTAAAACAGTTTTGACAAGTGGTTTCCAAACGGTGGGCGCAACCAATCGTGACCCGCAGAGGGGTCATGGGCCTGTTCTATTCTGTTTCTGGAGGTCGTGACACTCCAACGCTCATGAGACGAGCTACTCGGAAGCATGGTTAATTCTGGGGAAACTGAAACGCATGGCGAGGCAGCGATTTGTAGTCCGAGCACGTCACGAGTTGTGCCGTGTGACGAAGTGGCTGGGCAGCTGTCACACGTGCAGTGGAGTGATGAGGCAGCTGTCACAAGTGGAGTGTATAAAGTGTTATATATGGCTAAACGTGTGGTAGCTATTATCTACAGTGCCGGAAATGGCTATACAACCACCCAATTTTTCCAAATATTTTTTCTTGCACAAAAAATATGCGATTCTAATTACACGAGGTTAACTATGTTTAAAAACTGTTCCAACGCTATGTGAAAAAAATAATTTTCTCAAAATATATGAGTAGAAATTATGAAAATTAAAAAAAAACCTAGGTGGAAATGGTTAGAAGACCAAGATATATTTTTTCCGTTTGTGGATCACATACACTCGTTTAATAGGCAATCTCATCTCTTTTCGCCATAATTACCTCAATGCATCTATTTACCATATAAACCAGTGTCTTTTGAGAAATATTAAAGAACCAAGGAGAGCCGTGCTCAGGTCACTCACAGATTGGAACTGGCGCTCATTTCGGTAAACATCCCTCGCCATGATGCCCCATAACATAAGTTTTCAATGGGGTTGAGGTCAGGACTAAGCGCCGGCCACGGCTAACAGAGTAATATTCTGCTCTAGGAGCCACATGTTTGCTGATTTTGAGGTGTGAATTGAAGCAGTGTCTTGTTAGAAAACATATGATCCCTCATGTTTCTCATCGGCAAAAGGGAGAAGTTGGTAAAATAGCGTGTTCTTGTAAGCCACGGAATCTTGTCTCCTATGTAAAATAGCTGGAGTTGATTTTCCCTTCCGGCTATACAAGATTGCCGCTTGAAAAAAAAATCAGGCTCGCGGTCCAGTGGTGCCAATAGTATTGCCATCTATCTGGACCATATAGATTGAACTTTTTACATCACTGAAGATAATCTTGTGCCATCCCTTACCAATAAGCAAATTTTTGTCGGTTGATAATATGCTTTTGTTGGAGCACAGGGGCATTTTCCTCTTCATGTATTTGAATTTCTTCGAGTCATGCAATATCTAAAGGATGCGTCGTGCTGTTACATCTACTCCGGTGGCCACTTTATAGACGTAGAGATAGCGCAAGTTTTAGAAGCCTCAGAAAACAGTCTCCTAAGATCCCAGTTGCTTAATTTTGGGGTTGGCCCAGCGTGCTTTTTTCACCCGTAGCCGTCCGGATTAGCAAAAAAATGATTGTGCAATGGGCTTTGAGCGTTTTATTCCCATTGCGATGTCCCGTTGGCTTCTACTGCATTTCACGAAGCCGAAAATCTGCGCCTTCTCGGCCTCAGTGAGTCTTGTCCCACTTGGCATATTTTTACTTCAAAAAAATATAAGTGAGGACACTACTACACCAGAAGTACACCTGAAAAGCCCTAAATGACGAAAATCAAGATATTCTTTATATTGCTGTACTCTTTTGAAGTGAAAATGTTACAGAAAGATACCAAAATGGAAAAAAACTTATCTTGGTCTTATAACCATTTCCACCTAGGTTTTTCTAATTGTCATAATTTCTTCTCATATATTTTGAGACAATTATTTTTTTCGCATATCCTCGGAAACGTTTTTAATCGTAGTTTAACCTCGTATAATTAGAATCCCATCTTTTTTTGAGCAAGAAAAAATATTTGGAGAAAACTGGGTGGTCGTATAGCCATTTCCGGCGCTGTAATTGTATGGAGATAGTTTTGCTAAAATCGAGACAATACCAATATACTATATTATTACATGTAGCTAGTAAAAGTACTAAAACTAAATTATTGTTGTAGCAAAAACAGTTGCATCCATTCCAGTTTGACGCATGGAACTAGTAGGAATATAGATACACAAGGATGTTTTGATACTTTTACTTAGATCATTACAGGAACAAAATCGTCGAACCCGAGGTCAGCAGGAGGTTGAAGCACTATAAATTCAAGTACAAAATAAAAAAGATGTAAAGATGCAATTGATAGAATTAGAAGACAACGAAAATTATACTCAGCACTCAGTATAGCCTCAGGTTGCACCGCTGATTCCAACATCAATCACATTCACCAAGAAACCAAACTTCTACCCCTAACAACACCTTAAACTTCACACCTTACAACTCAGTCAGAAAGCACAAACTCCCATCTACCGACTACATACCCTCACCTTACAGCCGCACGTACCCACACCGCCTCATGAAACAAACTATTTTCCACAATTCAGCTTCACCACCAACATAGATATCCCACCAGCACAAGCCGCAGTCAAACAATCTCAAAAACAATCCACACCACAATCACAGAAAACTACCTCGCAACTCTTCCTCACAATAAAATTTTAAACTGTTCCGCAGCACAGATCCACCCATCTTAAATTAAGTTACCCAGACCTGCATGCAGACACCTCATACAACTTCGCACAAACAAATCATCGCTACTTCTCTCATATCTAAACAAAATAGACTGCCACACAGTCTTCTCCACACTGCCTATTCAACACACACGGCACAATTCATCTTGTCTCCTGCCCTGAAATGCCAACATCCCTGTCGGTGGTGACCTTTGGGCAGACCCCGTGAACGCAGCGAGGTTGCTGGCTCGCTGTAAATGCGCTTCTACCTCTAAATAATAAATGAACCAATGCGAGAAATTTGAAACTCTTTCCTCTCTACAACAAAATGAAAAAGCAAGCCTCTTAAGGAAAGAAAAAATTATACATATCAAAGGTCGGAAAGCTAGACCTTGCATAAAAAGAAATAGTACTTGCACTATTACAAAAAAGTGCATCAATATTCGGACCATGTCTCTCATTTCTCTGGTTGTAATAATATGCACTTGAACAAATTGTCATCGTTTGAAAGATTTAGTAGCATCTTACTTGGCAACAAAAATCGATCATGCGTGCGTATTTTAGGCTCAAAATACTTGCGAAGTTCGCCAGTTAGTAAGACGAACTAGACGATTGACTTCACTAACAAGTTTTAGGGTCTCGAACATCACAAATGTCTCCAATCGAAACTAATGCATTACCAGCGAGAAACGGAAGGTCTTGAGTGAGAAACTCAAAATACTTGCCACACTTGATAAATAAAAACCATAACCATGCGAGTCACAGCTCTCAAGATCGTACATGACATCAGTGTAGCAACACCATGGCAATAGATGCAAAACATATCGCAACGGTGAACGTTGTTAGGGTTTTTTTCCAAGATAAACATTCATCACTGAATATACCAACTCGAAGCGGACAACACAATCCCTGTTGTTGAACTATCAACATTTTCTTAATACACAAAGTGGCAGTTATTGGCAGACGGAGTTACGAACTCATAACTATTTTTGATAGTATATACGGCTCATGGCCTCATCTTAAACCACTGTGGTCATCGTCTATTCCTACAAACACATAAGCTGCGGAGTGAATGACAAGAGGTTAAGTCTTCAATGGCGTCAGCAGCTTCATGACTTGGCAAAGCCCTGGAAATCGCGACAAAGCGTTTGAACTGCAACTAAACTCAAACAATACGTTCTAATGCGAGTACTCACGATGAACGATTACCAAGCGACCAACAACTAACAGAGACGTGTCGCTAGCAAACGTCATAGATACGACGAATATCATGTACCAACCAGGACATCGAACATAATCCCCTTGATGTCCTTCTAAGGAACAAAGCTCCCACAACTCTTAAGAACTCGGCTGTTTCCGGTATGGCAGGTGAGTTCACTCCTTCCCTTGGGTAATGGACTTGGGAGTCCAATATTCTAACCAAGACACAGCAGAATTTTCGTTGTTCAGCTTAGTGAGTTTTATTTTCTCAATAAATTCTGCGTGCTCGGTATTTGCTGATCCGTACTCTAATCTTATAAGCTGACTTCTTATTGATTCTTTCCTGATGCGAGTTCCTTCATCAGTGACAATCTCCACCAAGGGGCTCAGCCAGAGAGTATGGGAAAGCGAAGCTTTAATGCATCCGGTCCACTTCGAACGTTCTTGAGACTCAGCGAAAAGTTTTTCAATATAGATGTTCGCGTTATGAGTCCAATCTTTGTCTTTATCGAACGGTTGAACATTGCACAGATAGATTTCCAGGATTAGCTGAGGCAAACTTGTGAACTCGGAGGGAAGCTCATAGAGGTCGGAAATTTTCACCGAAATTTCATCACCTTCGTCCAGCAAGAACACGTCAACTTTTGATGATTTTGAGTTCCCAACGTGTAAGACTCGGGCACGAGCCCAAACAGACTCGCGGTTAATCAGGCAAAGATTCCCAGCAGCCACAGGAAATTCAAGCTTTTGAAGACGACTTTCATCATCACAGAATCTCTGCAGAGTCATGAAGAGAGTGAGGTGGTTTCTACTCAAGTCCACCGAGATGCTGCTTGAGGACTCGCGATACTCAGTCAAACGCATCAAGTAACGCGAAGCATTGAGGATTTTTACCAGTTCCAGAGTAGCTATGCCGGATTCGGGTAGTTTACACATTAGATCTTCACCTACGATCTCGTGCCGCCACAGGCAGAGCTTCACAGACGGGCAGGAGCCATAAGCTTTAAGATAGTGGCACAGGGGAACTCCACGTTTTTCTACTTGAGAAAACTTACTTCGCAAGCTTGGAGAGATGTTTGTACCAAGATGCTCAAGGCACCCGAGCAAGTAGGAAGGCAAGGCAGCAGGACAATCATCCAACATCACTAACGATACAGGAGGACTCTCGGCCGTAGCGTCGAAATGAACGCGGTAGTTGTCCATGAGGAATGAAAAACGCTGGACAAATTCTTCTTTCCTTTGAGGGATGTCGGCATGAATTATCACATTGGCATCTCGCACGTCGCGTTGAAGAAGAATAGGAACTGCCCGGGAAGTTGCAATCAGAATATTTCCAGAGCTGAAAGACTTCCACATCTTGACGGCCTCGTCCTGTTGCCACAAGAGCATGCGTTCGTGCACCACCATTGAGAACGCAGCGTTACTGTCAAACAACTTCTTCAGTTGGCAAGCTTCTTGGTTATTTTTCACAAACACCATGACTCTCTTCTGTTCGTCTACTTCCTCTTTGACGAGATTCGCAACGTCGCCCAAGATTTGCAACGACTTTGAAGTGACCGAAGAAATATTTGTGACGTGCAAAATTGAGCGCACTTGGGCAGCTTTAGCAGCCTCCAAGTGTGATGAAATAATGAGCGTGGGCGTCATCAATGGGAAAATGTACTCCGTTAAGTCATGGATGTATTTTGTCCATGACGACGAAGTGACGATGAGCTGCTGACAAAAATGTGAATGGTTACTTTCAGACCTCCGGAGCGCCCATTCCTTCAGCAGGAGTTTGACATCTTCAGCTCGGGTATCCATCATAACGTCAGCATCGTCGAGAACAAGGTGAAAACACGTGCCAAGAAGATCAAATTGAACAGATTCTTTTTCTTCACCAGCAAGTCCAATGATACGCATCAAGAAAGGCAGAGTGGACACCAGGACATCGCATCCTCGGTACACGTCTTTCAGCACCTCGTTGAGAGAGTCGGGGCCCAGGCCGCCCCAGGCGGTCACAACCCTGATCTTGTGACGAGTAAAAATCTGAGCAAACGTGTCCCCGACACACTGTACTGCACGCCAGCTTTTACACACCACGACTGCAACGCCTCCGACCCTTGCATACGCTTGCTGTTCCACACACGGCCACATGTCCAGTAATAGGGACGCCAGTGGTAAAATGTAGCCTAAACTTTTACCGCTCGCGAGTTCACCAATAGAAATGATGTTCTGACCGCCCGAGATAATGGGCCACATATACGCCTGTAAACGAGTTGATAGATCAATTGCATTGCTTTCTTCAATCACTTTCATAACACTCTCATTTAGAACGCTAGCCATAACGTATTTGTTGACGACAATATCGTCCATCGGCAGTGGTAAACCACCAGCAAGAAACACTCGGTAAGGACGGTCAAGGCTGATAGACGCATCACTCACCACTTTGGGCCGCGCGCTCGAAACCTGCAGCATTGGCGTGTCGCTTATTGCAGGTTCACTGCGAGCCACTTTGGCCAAGGTCAACTTTGAAGCTTCATTTTGGGCTACAATTTTGAGTTTCGCTCCGTTAATTCGTTTGTCCTTACAATTTTCTTTTAATTGGAGGCACAAGAAAGATTCAGGATTTCCAGAAGTTTGGTCATGAGGAGAAATTTCTCCAAAATAATCGCAGCTGTCAGCGTGTGCAAAGGCATCATCACTATCCACTTTGGGACGCGCGCTCGAAACCTGCAGCATTGGCGTGTCGCTCACTGCAGGTTCACTGCGAGCCACTTTGGCCAAGGTTAACTTTGAAGCTTCATTATGGCTGACAATTGTGATCTTTTTGTGTTCTCCGTTAATTCGTTGGATCTTGCAATTTTCCTTCAATTGGAGGCACAAGAAAGATTCAGAAATGCCAAAAGTTGGGTCGTGTGGAGGAATTTCTCCAAAATAATTGCTGCTGTCACCGTACTCGAAGGCATCACTGACACCAAGCATGCCTGAACGTTCTTCACTTTCACAAACAGACAACGAGTGCAAGTCAGAGGATTTGATCACCGAAGAGTCCGAATGAGGGTAGGAATAGTTGGTTGCGTGTTCAGACTGGTGATATTTTAGAATCCAAGAATCTTCAGAGTAGGATAAGAGAGGATCGGGAAGAAATCTATTAGAACAACCGGCTTGAACTGGACTAGATCTCGGTCCCAAATTATCTGATGATGACGAGGAGTTGTGGCTCATTTTCTGCATGTGTTGAAGCCACTGACGAACTTTTACTGAAGGAGGACGAGCATTCTCAGCCATCTGCTGCGCGACTCCGTCAACCTCTAGGGCTGTGGACTCTTCAGGAAATTCACCAAGACGTCCCTCATCAAGGTCACCGTTGGCCCTGCAACAGAATGTTGGGTTAGAAAATAGGGTAGTTCAGGTTACTTTACTGACAGAATGAAAGTCAACAATACTGTGCAAATCTAATGCAATTGTGAACAATTTTTAGAAGTTCTAGTCATGATCAAATCTAATCAAGAAATCATCAGAAGACTAACTATAGGCATTTAAAATTGTTATCAAATAATTCAATCAAATGGACAATTATGAGAGATAAGATTGTTCCCAAAAGTTGTTTAAATCCTGATTAGTATATACTTAATAAACATAACATGAAAATATTCAGAAGCTCACATTCAAAATAAAATTCAATTTGGTTTAGCCACTACAGAAGCATAACCCACCATTGGCCTAAGCAATATTGAAATAACTACCTTCACAAACTCCTCAAAATAACTACACATGATCTCATTAAACTACCAACACAATCTCATTAAAAGTGACACAGTACTTATATCTCAGTCTGCTTAAAACGCAAGGTCACAAGGAATTTAATAGCAAAGAGAATGCCATGTAAATTCACCCTATTGAAACTGAAAATGTTTTGGAGTCTAGCTCTATTGTCAGTTCAAAAATATATAAAATAAAAAACAATAATTATAATTCAAAATCCAAAGTCAGACATTAAAACCTTACTTAAATTGACAAATAAAAAGCAAATCTACCCTAAAACAAAAAACAAGCATAAAAAACTACAAAATACACTCTAAAAATTAAAGCCTAGCAATTTCCTATTTCAAGAGGATATGAACCGTGTCCATGTATGTGTGCCATAGCTTATATATATAAATATACCAATACTCTTAAAATAAGGTTGCTCACAAAATAATGAACATATAGAGAGGAAAAATGTCTTTGACCAAAAACTGGATAAAACTAGGACATTCCCTGAACATTATTCAACATTTTAAATTAACTCTAAGCTTGGAGTTTGGTGCAGGGAAGACCTGGATTGCCATTTTCAGCCTGGATAAAAAAATTGGAGTGGGAGCAGGCAGCTCAAATGCAAATCTAGGAATAAATTCTAATGTCTGCATGTGCAGGCTTTACCAATGTTGTGATAAAGGGAAATATATGAGTATACTGGAACAAAAGTTGAAAAGATCAGTTGATCATGCTTCAGAAAACTTTCATACAAGTCAACTAAGAATTGATTCTGTCAAACTGAATATTTTCCTGCACCACAGAAAGGTCAATTTACTGAAATGTGAGCCAATTGGGAAATGCTTAAGAAATAGCCAACAATGGAGCAAATGTGTCATTTTGTGTCATTTTTTTATATGAAGAAATTTATACATCACGTTTCATGTGCATGCATAAAAAACTTCACACATAAATCTAGATGTTTTCCTAAGAAAAAGGAGAAAAACTTTCATCTTGATTCTAAATTGAAATTGCTTATAAACAATAACCAGAGCACTGCATCACAATTTTCAACACATCAAAATAGCTGCTAGTTTAATTGTATCATATTAAAATTGTAACAAAATTGATGGATTGAGATGAAAGATTTCAAATTCATTAAAATCGTTTAGGATTGAAGTGAAAAAATTTCAACTTCCAATCATACTGAACCTCAAATTTGGGATGATGAGCAGAGATATAGCAGAACAAGAAGACATGTTCCTGAGTGGAATTCTGGAAATGAATATTTTCAGAAGACAAATATCACACTAATTTGAAAATTTTGTTTGTGTTGTAATCTTCTTAACTTTTTGAGACCTAAAGATTAGGTACAACTGGTACATATTAATTTTTGCAGTAGAATTGGCCAAGTGTATAATGTTTGAAAAGTGGGTAAAATTGTGCTATTTTGAAGAATTTATAAATTTTGTAGTCATATCTTGTGTCAACAATCTTGTGTGCATGTGGATCCACTCTCATTGTGGATGAGAAAGGGTCACCAGAAGAGGAGGAGACCCTTTTTAAGGTAGTAATGGTAGCCTGGTCTGGGTTTGCTCTACCATTTTAGGACCCATCCCCTTGCCCTACCATCTGTGCTCTCCCCTTAGCTCGACCATGCTTGAAAGATTTATTTCTTGTAGGTAAATGTAAACATTGTTCGTGCAATATTATGTCTAGAAAAATTTAAAACCTTGCTTATTTATTCTTGTTGTAGACCTTTCCATTAAAAAAATGTGAGCAATAAGTACCTAGTCACCTGTTGTGGACCAAGACTTGCACAATAACATCTCAACCAAAGAACATAACTGAATTAATAATTTAGTTGCTTCTGAGTTCTCTAAATTAACAAGGAGGTCTCACTTCTAGAATTAACATTTTAAAGAATTGAAGTACAAATTTAAATGCTCTAAAATATCATCTCACTATTTCAGTATAGTTAAATAGTTAAAACTCACAAATACTATCAAAGGAAGGTACATATTTTTTGAAAATATTGCTATATCTTAGTCAAAGTTGTAAAATTCCTACTCATTATTAAAATCTTGAATCTCTAAAGTTGCATTTTTTACACATTTTGAATCTTAAAGCTTGATACTGTACTTTTACCAACAATTAGCTATGCAATTATCAATCAAGTGATAATCTCATGCCTATAAAAATGTCAGGAAACCTTTACTTACAACTTAGTATTTAATAGATACATTTTAATTCATAGAAACTTCCTTATTTGAAAGCTCAATAAAAAAAGAACTAGCAAAGACATCACTACAACATGATGCTTATTGAAAAATTCATTACATGAATTATTGTATCACTTAGTTTTAAAAATAACATCAGATAAATGACAGCCTCCATTGCCAATGCACTCAGTTCAATTCTGAAGTTTCATTCAACTCACTGAAGCATTTTGATGGGCATGTCAGCAATGGCTTGACGCATATGCTGTTCTTCAAATGAGGTTGTTGTTGTTGTGGTTCCCCGGTCTCAATTTTACAAGAGGCCCCCCTCGCGCAAGTATGACACCACCAACAGGGGGTTGCTCCAGAGCTGTGGGGTCGAGGTTATGTGGTGGTGTTGTCAAATGAGGTAGGGCCCTTAGGCAATACTGCAAACAATTGATTTAAGATAACCCCACAAAAATATCACATGGAGCCAGATTGGGGGATCAGGCTGGCAAGAGGTCACTTATCAAGGAGATGAGGTGCTCTGCAAAAGTTGGTGTGCTGAATGGCGTAGAGAATGCAGAAATTCCTTCAACTCCCTCTATATTTTTGCGTGTTGTGGCAGTCCACTGACCCTCTTGCATTCACACTTCCCCATGCCCTATAATGCATTGACCAACATAATCAATTTCTAGTAAGGAACCCAGCCTGAAGGATGAATACTAAACCAACTATGGAATGCTTAGCAAGTAGAGATAAAGAAGGGACATTAGAAAAGTATGCCGTAACAGCAAACACCTGCTGCTGGAGAAAAAATTTTAGTGGAGATAGACAAGATAGAAATAGGGAGGGATTTAAAGTTACACTTGAAAGAACCAAGAATATAGGTATAACTTGCAATACTTCAAGATTTCAATTAGACTAAATATTAATTCATTAGAAATTTGTCTCCAAGTCAAACACAATAAATTAACATTTATGAATGGTAATTAACAAATCATGCCACCAATAAGAGTTAGGCTTAACATGATGCACCATGAAGCTATTGCCCAAGAGCAAAATCTCATACATGTTCAGTTCACTCAGTGAAAGCTGAAACAAGCAACTGCATTTGACCCAGTGAAACAAGTGACTGCATTTGACTGTTGGCTGTTTGCAATGCCACTTCCCAAAGGTTGGCGGTATGAAGCGGCATGAAGCAGCAGCAAGCGGTAATATTATGATTTGGCCACAATGCAACCGTAATTTTATGGTATGTAAGTACTGTAGTATTATGGTTATGGTATTCCATAAGTATTATGGTACTTTTACCAAGTATTCAGGAACTGATTCTGAAATAGAAGCAACATTTATGTTCCTATATATAAAAGGGATTAGAAACACCTATCAAATTCATTTATTGTCATTCAATTTGGGGTGTATGAATGACAATTTTACTTTCATTCCTATGATACTCATTTTTACTGACTAGAATTGAATTAAATTAAAAACAAAGGAATTAAAATTTAATTCATTAATTTAAATTTAAATATTTAATACACCAGATGGTAGATGTTGTAAAATTAAATTCTATTAATAAATGTTAAATTAAAAGCTTTGATTACAATTTTTTAATTAAAAATTAATTTTTATTAAATTAAATTGAATTATTTAATACACCTCATGAACATGGTACATGCTCAATATTTTATATCATGCAATAATTGCCTGTTTTAAGCAAGGAACATTTAAAAAAAAAAACACAAGACGTTCAAAAATTTGTGATGAGAGACAAAATCATTCAGAATTTGAAGTGAAGTTATTAGGACAAATTTGCCATTATAGGGCAAAAACATGAAAAATTAAGATCTGGATGCCTATCAATAGGTGTTTAAATTTTAGAACAACTTTCCATCATTTAAATCTCATTGTGGAATGTGGATCAAATCTACTTTATTGTGAAATCGAACTGTTCAATGGAAAAGTACCTCTTTTCCATGTCCATCAAACCTGAACATAATTTATTTTTATTGCAGAACATATTAATTTCGAAAATTTGTCCAATACTGATACACAACTAGTGAATGTATTCAAAGGAGCAGGGAGGCATCGCCAACATGGTATTGGTTTTTGAACCATGCAAGATATTGGATGCACGGGCAGCGGCAGTTTCTGATGAGCTCAGTGTATCAATTGTAAGTTGTAACAATGTAGGCCTAACTATGGTGGAAAGGTGTTTGATCCATTTTCTTATGTTAACATGAGAATATATTACCTAGCTATACAGAATTTTACACTCCATTGATGATCAATATACAAAACAACCATAGCAAATAAGGCAGAACTTCAGAAGATACCCAAAACACTCCTTGCCTGTATGACAGTAGGTATGCCCAATTAGTCATGCCAAAGGACAAGGTCCAAAAACCTAAAAAACATGAAAGGATAAATAACATTGTTTGACATCAGCCATCAGTTAAATATTCAGCTTCTGCCAGTCTGCCCTGATTCCCCCTGAAATTGGCCTGAGCCCTGAATGGTGTCATAACGTCATTGGCATTGGTGATTGGTGAAAGGCTAGGCTAATCTGAAATATTGGACAAAACTTTCCAAAAAGCAAAGGTGAAAATATTGTTTCACAGGTAATTTTTTAGAATAGCAGGCTAGAGGCATTTAGGCAAACAGGTGGCAATGTGGCATTTTGTCTTAATTTTCACCTAAGGCAAAGATATTAATATTACCTATGCAAATGGCAATGGCCATATAGGCTATCCATAGTGGCAAAGCAGACTTTTTAGACTCTCCCTCAAGTTCATTTTTGAGTCCTATAAGTAGACCAGTAAAGTATCATGGATACTGTAAAATGGGGTTACTTTGACCGGCGGGGTAACTTTGACAACTTTTCGTTTTTTTAACAAAACCCCCCAAAACTCAAAAACGAATTGACATAGAAAAATTATGTCAATGGCCATCAAAGGCCTAATACTGAGGCTATGTAACACAATAGAAAGATTTAAAAAGTTTGCATATCTAATAGGTTAAAAAATTAATAATGTGACCCACGGAAAAGAGCTATTATTTAAAGCCTGTTGGAGTACCCCCTCCAATTTTTTCATTTTTTGGTAAAATAACTCCAGGTTTTGATGCATTGTAGTAGAACTCTTCTANGACACGCATATGTATGACGTCACCATTTCAACCATCAATGAACGCATGGAACTAAAACAAAGCTTAATATAAAGGAAAAGCTGGAGAGGTGACGGAATTACCTACGATGTTGGAATATACCGCGTTTACCCTATAAATCTTGAGTAAATGAAGAAATTAAAATTGAACTGATTCTAAAAAATCTCTGGTTTGTCACTATGGGCTATGCCATAGAAACAGAAAGTGTCACTGACACTGTGTCAGCATTCAGCAAGCACAGGTACTATTTTTGTTTCTTTCACTGGTGGAGGTGGCTTCACTGGCTAGTGGCTTGTGCCCAAATCAAACTCTAAAGTTGGTGTGAAAGTGGCAATAGGCTAACACTGTGGCATTTATGGTCATGGAAATATGTTTAGTAAATTAGTACTAGTAGCTAGTGCTAAATGCTAGGCCAATCGGGAAGTAGTCTGTAGTCAACTAGGCCTACCTACTTTAGTTTTAACTAGTACCTACTAGGCTATAATATACCTAGCTTATTTCACAACCAGAAAAAACAGAATCAAGATAAATACGCAAATTACTAAAATATATACAAAAAATAGACAGACCTCATGTCTGTCGTGAATCACAATGTGGCAGGCAAAATAACTCATAAGCTACTTGTTGTTGCTTTCAAGTTCGATTTTCTGCCTCTGTTCGATAAACGATGAAACTGAGGCTGCAGCCTGCCGCCTGCCCCTGCAAAGGAATGAAAGCATCAAAGCGATCACTCGACACTCGGTAGTTCGTGTCAGGGTAACCAATTGGCGGTAAAATAAAAGTATAAATTTATTGGTAAATTATTATTAATAAAGCATCAAATAGTTTTAATATTTTTTATGACTTTTAAGAATTACATTAGATTTTAGGCAATCACAAATGCTAGCCGGCTACCAACTCTCGGACACTCTTACGGCCGAGCGCCAAGCCAACCATAGTTCATCGAGTCTAAAATATCTCTCAAACTAATAAACGCACCTCAATAAAATTTAGCGCGGGTATTCACTAGAACCTAACGATGATTTTCCGAAATTTTTTGTTAGTTATACGGCACAAAAGACAAAATTTGCGATGAGCCTAATTTAACTTCTATCCTACTGTACAGATTCGATTGAAACTGAATATACACCTCATGACCACATAACAGCATTGTTTAGCTTGCGATTTTTTTAATTTTTCCCTTCTTTTAGGTGTTAAATATCTGTAACGCGAAACGACTAGATTTCTGTGGCGATTCAGTGATTGTCAAGTTTGCTGTGAGCCCAAAATATCTCTGAAACTAATGAACGCAGCTTGCTGAAACTTTCACTTTGCACATGCTTTCAATAGGAACTAAACGGTGGTGCGTAGGTTGTGGTCTTATTAAAACTGTACATAGGCTTGCTGCGAATTTTGAACCCTATGTATGACTGCATAACTTGGAAATGAAGGCGAAATCGAGAAAAATGTTCTCAAAGTAAACATCACTGTTGGATGGTTTCGAATGCATATTCAAAGTTTCGTTCAAACCTGTACTGTAGGATACAAGATATCTCAGTGTCACTTCGAATTTTGGACTATGAATACGACCTAAACATCCCAAAATGTGTATGTGCGACGATTATGTCAGCGGCTAGAACATCAGCGCCAGCCAGACAACCAAACTTTGTCCGTGCAGGGTATTTTTAACCCCTAACTTGGTATTTTTAAACTTTATTGTTAAGGAAGGTACTGGTGGATATTTATTATGCAGAGTAACTACTGAAACAAGCACAACAAATGAACAGAACAAAACTCAGCTTATGGCGCGCACCAGATCTATTGCTTGTAGTAGTGAACTAATAAGATTCGCAGAACAGAATTGACGAACTTAACAAGGTGTGGCAAAGAATGGCTTATCCTGAGCTAATATTCACAAATATAATCACAGAAACTTCATTAAGTTACAACAAAATATTAATATCACAACACAAATTTAAATACAGCAATATAAATACTGACACACGTTTCACCAACAATGAGGCGCAATGTGCTTCACGCCTGACGAGACCGAAAGTGACAATATTATAATCGAAGGATCCATGTGAACAGGCCTCTTCTCTATAAGAAAATGCCAGCCTAACCAAAAGACAAACATATTAATGTAATCAACTAGAAATTTAATAGCAGCAAAATAAGAAATAACTGTTCGTGTGATCACAAAAAGGGCAAAAAATCGTGGTACAAAAATTGGTGACTCATTTAGTTCTACACTAGCGCGATTGCCGGCATTAATTAAATAATGGTATACAACAGTTTATTGAGGATACACACATACTAAAAATGTTCACGCTGTTCTACAGTGTAAAACACAATGTATTAAGAACTAAACGATGGAATAATACATTGAACCTTGCGATTAAACCTTCCACAAGGGGTTCTACTATGACACGAGATAAATGTAGCTGAACTAACGGGTGAAGTAACCGCCATTAGAAACACCTCTTTATTTACATAGAAATTGCACACTACCTATATAAACATACAAATGTAAGCTAACTTGATCTAGCGAATTACAAAACATTTAAAAATCATTTGCAACGTCGCTCAAAAATCTTCGTTGCACATTGGGCAAGTTATCCACTGGACCAACTGAACGCGTATTAGGTCGCAACGACCTAAGGCTAGGCCGCAACGACCTATAGCCTAACGCAGGCTTAGGACAACTAGAGGCTTCAGCCAAGCGACCTGATCGACGTCTCAGTGAGGTCAGGTCAGTCTGCAGCTTGTCTTTCATTGACTGCAAGTACGAAGACATCCCGTCACCTTATTAGACGTCGCATTAACTGGATGATTAACACTGGAGAACGACACGTCTATGATTTGAGCGCCCTCTTCAAGGAAGTCACTCACATGAGAAAGAGCGGCATAGCAGCGACGAGGACACTCGACCGCGTCACCCCTAAGCGCGACATTTACTCAAGCAAGTTCGCATGAGACATCATGAAGTTGTGCCGGCTCGTCTCCCAATACACCAGGCATGCTCCACGTTTCATCGCAGATGGTAGGTATCGCATGCGTTCGAAATGACTCTGGTTCGGCGTTAGCGTCGCTAGTTTGTTCACTTATTTTGGGAATGATGTCAGTTACAGGTTCATTTGGCATATTTCCACGGGAATCATGAGAGCACAAAACTAAATCATCCGGTATAGTCGACCGCGTTATGACGTTATTGCTTTCTTCACTTCCGGAATAGGTTCCTCTGAATCAACGAAAGTTTTGGTAGAACCCGTGTGATCGGCGGCGGTTTCCCAGTCACACGTAACTGGAACCTCATGAAAACCTGAACAAACAGGGTCCGTCTTAATACAGTCATAAAGAGGCTCAGGCTCCTCTCAAACAACCTTATTATATGGGTGGTCAGTAAAATACTTCGGAGGTACCTTCCATTTACGTAACTGTGGGTAATGAGCTCTAACGATTCTAGACAGATCGTTGCAACACCGAAACTCGTACGTCAGTTCGTTAGGTTCTATCAGGTTNGGACCTAATAGTGATATCTAAATCGGGATTATTTATTCGATTTCGCCTTTGTTTTCGACGTATACGGTCATCCGAGACAAAATTCGCTCTGAACACGGAAAATTTTCTAAACTACTAAACAGATTAACTGAATTTTGAATATAATATATTCCTAAACACCATACGGTGATGCTCAGCTCGTTCAAAAAATTTTCAAATAAGGCTTCATTTGCGAGTACAACACAAAGAAGCGACCGGCATATCCACTGGCGATCGTCAAATTTTCAGTGAACAAAACATCTCTCAAATTAATTAACGCAGCTATATAAAAATCTGCACTCGTTCATTGGGGGATGTTTAGATCGTGGTCATTTTTAGCGCATTTTCTCATTTATGGAAAAAATGCACTATTGTGCTCGCCATGTCCGTCTGTCTCTCTGTCTGTCAGTCCGTCCGTCCGTCTGTCCGTGACCTCAAGTTTTCGTCGACGAGAAAATGCGCTCTCTGTCACTCACTGCAGTGAGTACTGAGTTATATTTTTTCGATTTCGCCTTGATTTTTCGATTTTGCCTTGACGCAAACGAACGGTAATAAAATGCCAATGCTACATCCAGATTACATTTATGCATTAGATTCCGCGTATAGCCTTTTCTGTTCTGCTCAAGTTTTTTACGTGTTTCTCCCTCCCTAATCAGAAGAAAAATTAATTAAACTGTTTATACTTTTGAAAGGCAATAATTACGGATGATTGTCTTCATAAACAAACGATTACCGACGCGATCGGAAACTAGTCTCCAGGAAAAATCTATACGTTGTATTAAGCGCATGGGGAATTATAAGAATTGTATTTCAAACGCTTTTATTTTCTAAATGAATGCTACAAAAACGTCCATAATGTGAAATTAAACGAAAATGACAGAATAGAATTTGGGTGTATGTCCCGAAGTGAGAAGCAGTGTCACTAGCAATGAGTATGTGGCTACAGCTAGGAATAGTTTTTAGTAATAATAGTGAAGAAAATATTCAAATAAAAAGCATCGTTAGAAATTATATGGATATTGTTTAAAAAAAATGATATTATTTTTTCTGTGCATAGTTGTACCTTATTCGCCCGCATTCAACTTTCTTTGAAGAAAAAGATTAAGCAAGAGTGTATGCTTGCGTCTATAGCGAAAAATGAACCCTTTCTGAAGAACTTTCATACAAAGAGAAGATTCAACAAGAAATAAGCATCCATAATACGACGTAAACAATGAAACAAAATCTACTCATGAAAATTTTGATAACAATCGAAGTAATTTACCAGCGTAAGAAGTGAGTTCTATATAGAGATCGTCTCTAGCTTCTCGAGTGAGCCCAGGACAACTTGTTATATTTTTTTAAACATAATTATTAACTCCAGAATCAAATCACATCGTCATTTGGGACTGGAAGAGAAATCATGGTTGTTAATAAATGCATTTCGGTACTTGGGTTAAATTCTCGTTAGGTTGACGCGTGAACGTCGGTTGGTAGAACAGGTTCTCCCTACAATTAAATACACATAAATTTATTTTTTAGGCATGTATATGATGCGGGATCCTCTCATGGTTTTGGATCCTTAATTACGAGTGCAGACATTAGTAACAATGAGTATTCTAAGTTTTAAACTACGATGATTTCAAAGCATGATTCTACGGTCAAAATTGTAAAGCTAACTGTAAATCTTGTATGGCTGACGACTCAGTACACGGTTATTTTCTCTGACCTACCGGCCGTTACTGCGTCATCAATAATTTGCTGCTATCATTCACGCCGTATATTCAACTTGAGTCATTCTAATTCACAAGGTGGCAGCCATCAGGAGGAGACCTGCGTACCTTAATTAAAACATGCCAGTTATTCAAAGTGCGATGATCATGAAGCTGCCAATACTGCATTATATAAATGAAAAATTTGTATTCCAAGTAAAGATTTATTCACTTATATGTAAAATAAACGATAGAGCAGACCATGGAAACAAATTTACACAACCAAATATTATTTGATCGTCGCACGCTAAAGCTCGTAGTTTGTCAATATTTTCACTTTCTGTAGACTTTACATAAGCAATCCAGGAGCGTTAGACGGTCGCAGTCAATTTTCTTGCAGTTTAATAATAATTTTATAAAGGGCTGAAATCGCAGATAATTTCCTCGCGGTCTAAAACTAAAATCTTATAGTGGACAGAAAGGGCAGATAATTTCCTGGTGGTCTAAAACTAAAATCTTATAGTGGGCAGAAATCGCAGATAATTTCCTGGTGGTCTAAAACTAAAATCTTATAGTGGACAGAAATCGCAGATAATTTCCTCGTGGTCTAAAACTAAAATCTTATAGTGGACAGAAATCGCAGATAATTTCCTGGTGGTCTAATACTAATCTTTTAGTGGACAGAAAGGGCAGATAATTTCCTGGTGGTCTAATACTAATCTTTTAGTGGACAGAATGGGCAGATAATTTCCTCGTGGTCTAAAATTAAAATCTTATAGTGGACAGAGAGGGCAGATAATTTTCTCGCGGTCTAATACTAATAATATGATGGACAGAAATCGTCGATCTCGTGTCGCTACTATGATGCGAGCAATTATTATTTGTCTTATTTTTCAGGGAGATCATACGCCTGAAATATGACGGCATTGACGGCGGCCAAAGCCTTACTCCATCCCTGCTGGGCCATGGGCGAGTAAGCTGTGCCCAGGTTATCCCGTAGGTAGTCCAGCAGCACAACCCGCAGACTCTGAAACAAAAGCAACAACGTCAAAAATCATTTCTGTACTATAATTTTATTTTTGTGCTAAGAATTACCCAATTTTACAGAGAAATACAGGAACAATCGTTGCAAAAATACGTTTATTTATTAAATTTTGTATGTTTTAGGTGTGAAAAAAGAATGCTACTATAGAAAAAATTGTTACTATATAGAGTTGTTCCTTATGGACACGAGCGTGAAGTTGTCACAAGTTTTGCAACACGAGAGACCAAGTTATTCAAGTATGCTGCGAGCGCCCCAAACTTTCTTGAGTCTTCAAGGCCTGACTCGACAACTTGCCTAACAAAGTTAGGAGAAGAAGATAAATGGTTTAAGACGCATTTTAAATTTGAATTGAAGGATTAAATCACGAGACTTTGACTAATAAAGTCACAATAACAATGTCTTTTATAATAGAAGTTTTTTACAGGTACTATATAATTTGCCTAGTTTAACAGTTCAATTTAGGCGTATAATGGAATGAAAAATTTAAATAAAAATAGAACACTAGGACGCTAATAAATTTTTTTCGAAATGTTGACAATCACGAGCAATTATGTGTATCTGAGGGTTTCATTCACCTGTGTGCCTGAGGGTATCATTTCGCCTGAAGGCGCGTGATCGTGTCAGCGTTTGACATGCTAAGCTCGTGCAATTAGCGTGGCAGGATTGACTTCAAATCACTGGCAACAAACGGCCGTACATCACCGGCAATAGTAGTCTTCCGGCAGGAAGACTACAGAGATTGCAGCTCCACTCACGATGATTGTTGCCGAAGTATGAATGGACAGAACAGTGTCTGGCCAGGTGATTGTGACCGAAGGATGAGTAGCTTCCGGCCAAGGTGATTGTGGACAAACGATCAAAATGCGTACAAAAAAAATAACCAAATCATCATGAATGATTAATAAGCGAAAGTTGGTCATTCACTCCACTAGCACTTTTTTTAGAGATAAAAATTTTACCTACGCAGATTAAAATTTTACCTATGCTTTTACCTTCCAATTTTACCTACGCAGTCGCATCAGGCACGCAGGAAATGACACGGTCGTCCGAGTCGACCTCCCCGCCTACTCCCGCCGTCAAAAGCAATTCTACGGCGATGTCTGCCGGAAATTGTGGCGCGACCAACAACATTGAAGAAATATTCTTTTGCAAATCTTACTCATGGCCCTGTCAGAGGCCAAGATAAGTGATGCCACTCACTCTGACAAGCCTTGGTCATGATTCTGACATAGACTATGAGACGATCTCACTCACCACTAAAAATGAGCTTTTTCCGCAGCCTTACTCGCGATTTTGCTGAAGACCAATAAGTTGCACTACTCACCTCAAAATGAGTGTCTGTATTTAGCCTCACTCAAGATTGTCACAGGCCAACAAGTATCACTTCACCTCAAAGTGAGTGTCTGTAAATAGCCTCACTCATGATTTCATCAGAGGCCAACAAGTTTCACAACTCACCTTAAAACAAGTTTCTTACACAAACCTTACGCACTATTCTTCCAGAGGCATAAAAGTGATGCCACTCACCTCGAAATGAGTTTTCTCGATGCCTCTTCTCTTATGATTTTTTCCTGTGGTCTTGAGAATTTCGACGAGAGTTTCAGGGTCGCCGAGGGATTCAACGACGCTGTTGATGGCGTTCATGACGGTCGTGGCGTGGGCCCTAAGCCTTTTGTCTTCCTGGAGGACTGCCAACGGCTTGCCATCGAAGCCGCTGAACTTCTTTTGGATGTTCGGGTGCCTTTCAAATAATCTGGAAATCAAGGTAACGTACTTATATTATCAGTCTGCTTAGATCGTAAGTTCACAAGGAATTTAACAGCAAAGAAAACGCCAAGCAAATTCACCATATCGATCATAGCGTTTGCAGTATCGATATGGTGAATTTGTTTGGCGTTTTCTTTGCTTTCAAATTCTTTGTCAAAGTAACGTGTGATTACTAAGCATTCGAATGCTCGGATAATAAAATGTGGTAAATTGGTTTGATGTAGGCCGCGTTCACATCGTGTTTCCGGGCACTTGTCAGGTAGTATGGTGTGAACCCGGCCACAAAATTTTTAAAAAGAAAAAACAGTCGGCAACACAAGCTTTTGGTCATTTATCGCCGGTTTTGGAGTAGAAGCAGAGACTGCGAGTCTAATGATATTTGAGTCAACCATTGATGTCAATGGATAATTGGAAATGTTGTAATTAATCATTTGAATTAAGGATGCAAACAGCTCAAGAAGAACCGGATTCTGTGTTAAGCCTCACCTGAGGAAGAACTGGACGCCGTGGTGGGCCTCACCTGAGGAAGAACTGGACGCCGTGGTGGGCCTCACCTGAGGAAGAACTGGACGCCGTGGTGGGCCTCACCTGAGGAAGAACTGGTCGCTGTGGTGTGCCTCATCTGACTGAGGAAGAACTGGACGCCGTGGTGGGCCTCACCTGAGGAAGAACTGGACGCCGTGTTGGGCCTCACCTGAGGAAGAACTGGACGCCGTGGTGGGCCTCACCTGAGGAAGAACTGGACGCCGTGGTGGGCCATGTTGGGTTTCACTATGTCCCAGGTAACGACCACGGCCCTGGCCTCTCGAGGGGTGAGGCCCGTGATGTCGTTGGGTTTATCAGGGTTGGGGCCCAGGGCTGGGTACTGCAAGAACCACGTCTCTTTATCAGTTATGGTACGTTACGGTTTGATTGTGAATGCGCAGGAATTACACTGAGTCTGAGGTCCTGATGCTATATTGCGGTTAATAAACTATTTATTTTTAAATGAATCTTCGTATTTGAACACAGACAAATGCTCGAATATCAAAGACGCTGCCAGATTCAACATTCATGCGTATGAAATAAGGCGTGCGAATGTACGATGCACGGTATATTATGCGATCGTTAATAATATACACATTGCGATTCAATCAGGCGCTCAGTAGGAAATTTTTGTTTCCTACGGAAACAAAAACTTGTTTTTCTTGTTTTTCGCCCTCACGAGATGCCTTTTTTTGCTACTCATAATTGAATTGAGTGTCTGTACAATGAGCGTATAAGTGCGAAGCTGAATGGCGGAACACTTAATTACACACCCATCTTGATTGGCAGCCCAACGATACATACAAATGATGAAATAAATGCATAAATTAGTATAGTGAAACAATATGTAGTTTCTCGAACAACAGTCGTGCGAATAAAACCGAAGATGAGCGTTGTAAAGTGTAACAATGGGGAATGACCTTGCTTTTTGAAAGGCGGTGGTCCGAACTCTAGTGAGTATTTTTCTAATTACGATATTGCCATAAGAAGCAGATACAGAGCCAGTTGCATGGAGCACAATATACTTTTTTGTTGACCCGAAGGTATGGATAAACATTGTACGGAGGTGCGCATGTGAGAGGTTATATAACAGTACTATTACCTAATAAATCATTTCAGCTCAATAACATTCGAGCTTCAATTATACAATAAACAGCGATATTTGAAAGCAAATGATATACGTGATGATGTGCGATACATAGAATGGGTTGTTTAACTCACAAACTTGGAGTCCGTTCCGCAAACTTTGTTCTGCAATGGAATTGTCTGCAATGCTTATAATTTTTAGTACCTATATCATATTGCAAATAACAAAAGTCAAGTTTAATTGTGAAGGTTAAAAATGGGGGATTGAAGAAATGTGTTGAGTTATGGTAAGAAGGTCGAACTAATTGAAATTAAATGGTTGATGTATTGGGGATGGAGGAACAGAGTTTGAATGAAATGTTGAGTTGAACAGGTTTAAACAATAAAGTTGAAAAATGAGATTATCTAAAATGTGTTTGAAATAGCATTGTTCAAGTTGACGAGTCTTATTAGCAGCTTTTTAGCTCATAGAATTATATGTGAGAGTTAAAGCTAGAGTTAAAGCAGTGGACTCAACCTAACATGGTTAAAATTAAGGCAAGAAGTACTACAATTATAACTGCCAAATTAAAAATTAATAAAAAAGCAGCAAAAACCAAATCCTCTTTTCATTTCAAAAAAAGTTTCTTTCGGTCAGTTTGCAACGATGCAACAGCGACACACAAACAGCTTTGCTAACAACTTCCCAAACATTACTCGGCAATAATTAGATCGCGAATTTTGATTGAAGAAGACATAAAAAAATATAACTCAGTACTCACTGTATAGTGAGTGACAGAGAGCGCATTTTCTCGCCAACGAAAACGTGAAGTCACGGACGGACAGACGGACATGGCGAGCACAATATTGCATTTTTTCATAAATGAGAAAATGCGCTAAAAAAAGGCTGGCACAAGATGCCCCCTAAAAAAATAACTTACCTTACTGCCCCCGAAGAGCCAGCTGAAGAGACTGCTGATGAGGGCTCCCATGTTGTTTGTACACTCTTCACCTCCCTGCCAAACTGCTGTGATGGCAATCAATTACAAGCTAATTGCTACAATAGATTACCTAATATTATCGCTTGCAATTTTTTGTATGGTTATTAATTAGATTGATTGCGTAGGGTGAATCTGTAAGAAGAATACAACATGAGGATATTAAAAGATTAAGAATAACATACGTCTACCGCAACACACTGTTAAATCAAAGGACTGACACGCTTAACTGATTCTGCTAAATAACTTTAACAACATGATTACATGTAAATGAATTCATAGCTGCAGTCCAGTAACAGCTGACGTTAAGTCACAGTCGCAGCGAAGTCACAGTCGCAGTGAAGTCACAGTCGCAGTGACGTCACAGTCACAGTGAAGTCACAGTCGCAGTGAAGTCACAGTCACAGTGAAGTCACTGACACAGTGAAGTCACGGCCACAGTGACGTTGCAGCCACCGGTGAAGTCACAGTCGCAGTGAAGTCACAGTCGCAGTGAAGTCACTGACACAGTGAAGTCACTGACACAGTGACGTTGCAGCCACCGGTGAAGTCGCAGTTGCAGTGAAGTCGCAGTCGCAGTGAAGTCACAGATACAGTGAAGTCACGGCCACAGTGACGTTACAGCCACGGTGAAGTCACAATCGCAGTGAAATCACAGCCACGGTGAAGTCACAGTCACAGTTAAGTCTGCCTCATTGAAGTCACAGTGAAAAACCCGAAATTCTTAGCACTCGGTCCAAGAACGAGCTACGTACGATACTGGCACCAGTCTGGGCTCATGCGCCTGCTACTTAGTTTTTTACTTAGTTTTTTTGACGGAGTCAAAAAACTTATTTCACAACTAAATTTCATGTTTTTGTGTTAATTTGTTCATACGTCGGTAGAATAAATGGCTGAAATGAGCGAAGAGGCGCTCGCCTGATCACCGTGCCAACAAGACGAATATATGATATTGGATTAGACGGACATTTGATCCAAGAACGGCTGCAACGACAGTGACTTGTAGTTTTGCCGGCTCCTGGATATTTAAATTCGTCCTTTTACATCAAGGTCATGTTCCCGTCCTACTATGGGCCAAATAAAATAGATCCAGAAATATACATTTAATGTAAAAAGTTCACACAATCTTGAATACATCGTTTCATCGCGTACACTATTTCGTTGTTTGATAGGATAACTTTAAATGATATTAAATATTCTAACTCATCCCGCATCTTAGGATGCGCGCGTTAGAACAAGAGTGCGGGCGATTGTAGTGATGAGTTTTGTTTGAATGATTTTCCGCTCAAGAATGATCATTTATTCGTAAACGATCATTCATTTACGAAAGGTCGTTCATTTGCTGGATTGGTTAACTCTAGTCTTTTAGTTGAGGAATTAAACTCACACATAACACACTCATTTCGCTATTTATCAGTTCTAATTTGAGCTCCGCAAATCGTTTTAGCCCTTTCGATGAAATAGCTACAATGTGCTAAAATTCAATTGGATTATATCGGATTATGACGTAGTAAAATTTTTATTTCTGACACGGAATAAGCCGAATAACCAACAAAGTTCTGATGATTTCCTCGCACGCAACTCAATCCATTATGGAGGCGCAGCATCTCAAAGTTTTTGTCCCCTCTTGCTTGGCTTGTTGTGACGTAGTCCTTACTGGTACAGCACGATCAGGGGCGGCTGACCATGAACTTTCTTAGGTAGCATATGCGAGTCCAAGCAGTGCAGGTAGCCTCAAAAATGGCCTCATCCGGATTACCTTGGCTAGCCGACCAAGCCTGGAATACCGAAGTGTATAGCAACAGCAAGCAACCCACAGAGCCGAGCTCCAGGAAGACGATGAGCGGGATAAGTGCGCAGTAAACACAAGGAAAAATTAAAAGAAAAACACAAAATAAATCGGTCTTATATGGTTCTGGTGCCTCACCCACGCCTCGCTCATCATATTTGTAACACTTGTCGGCTCTTATTTGTAACACTTGCCGGCTCTGTATTTATAACACTTGCCGGCTCTGTATTTGCAACACTTGCCGACTTTGTGTTTGTAACATTTGCCGACTTTGTATTTGTAACACTTGTCGGCTCTGTATATCTAACACACATTTTGCTCAGTATACAAAACACGCATTAACTCAATATCCGTGACAGGAGCCGGCTCATAATTCTTAACACTTGCCGGCTCATTATTATTAACAGGAGCCTGTCAGTCTCCTCAATACGTGCTGGCTCAACATATATTAAATCCGCATGCAGGCTCAGCCTCCACGCACCATCTCATTATCCTTTCATAGGTGTTTTGAGTCAGCGCTAAAGATTTAATAGAAGAAACCTATAGTGAAAGTTTTTATTTCATGATTTAATCTAGCGTACAATTTTTTTTCTCGCCGAACCGTTTTCATGCGGCGCTTCTGCTTGTGGAATGCGAGCGAAAGCACAGACCTGTTAGACCGGCCATGGAAGATGATGTCATGGCGAGAATAACGGTGCATGCCTGCGTGCGTTCAGAACCTCAATTAATTGTTATATAGAGCAACGTATTATGAGTGAAATTTATTTTTGCAACGTATATGGAGTAAAAATACTGTGGTAGAAGCGATGCGATAGAGAAACGTGCTCAAGTATTGTAATATTGAGGTCAATATATTACTCTTCATTGAGTAATAGAGTAATGTGCGTCTCAAAAATGCAGTGCTTAATACGGTGCGTTCGCTTTGTACGATAACAAAGGAGTGCAGTAGAGAAACGTAATAAAGTGCCGCCTTAGAGTTGTGGCGAACGCTCCTTTAAGTTTATTTGGAATTACGTAGCAAAGTAAATGGAATAACGTATAAAAATGACGTCGGAATGACCGTAATTGTGTGCAGCTTTTTGAACGCACGCTGCCGGCCACGATTGATATTCTGCTTGAAGAAATGAAAACTTTTAGAGCCCCTCGCAAACTCCAATAATTTTCGTCAGGATGCAATTACGCAAGGCTTCAATTAAACAGCGATTAAACTTAAGCGATTTAAACTTAAGCGACAAGCGATTAAACTTAAATGCGCTTGGGATGAAGTAGCACAAGTCAATCGGTTTTATATACATTCGAGGTCCTAAACGTCTTTTCATATGACTACACAATATTCCTTCATATAAGTAATTTTTCCTTCTTATCTAATATCATCCCATAGTTGGAATAATAATAATTTAATAACAGCATCATGTATGCAACGCAAATGTTCTCAATTTTAGTTATATATGAGGTAACGACTTAAAGATCATCAATTGCCGCCTGATTAATGGCAACTGGCTGCACCATATAGTTATTCAAGAGTAAAATAATCAAGCGAAAATATTTAAAAAGAAGTTATTCATATTCATAATTATAAATAAAATCCTAAAATATAACAAGGTTAGGAGACATGAGCACCTCTGCAGTTTCCCAAAAGGATTTAACTTCGCCACTGTATTAAAGTTGAAAAAAGTTCAGTAAAGTGCATGGCTGCTGCCGTAAAGGCACAGCAACAATAGACAGCTTCGCGAAGATACTCCGTATTTATAGACCGTCTAGCTTCTGCATGGCAATTAAAGTATCCCAAATCCATCGTGATACAAGGAGCCCTGATTTTGGGGCTATTGGATACATCCACCATGATTAACTTCGCCACTGTATTAAAGTTGAAAAAAGTTCAGTAAAGTGCATGGCTGCTGCCGTACAGGCACAGTAACAGTAATCAGCTTCTCGAAGATACTCCGTCTTAGACCGTCTACACTGTTAGAAAAATGACCGTTAACGGTATTACCGGCGTTTCAGTGGCCGGTCGGCAAGTGAAAAGAAACACCGTTTCACCGTTTTTATTCCAATTTAACACCAGAAAATTAACACCAGAAATTAACACCGCAAATTATCTGATAAAAACGGCAAAACCGTTCATTTTCACGGTGCGACCGGCTACTAGGATGCCGGTGGGACCGTTTTTCTAACAGTGTATATAGCCTCTGCTTGGCAATTAAAGTATCCCTAACCCATCGTGATACAAGGATCCCTGATTTTGGGGCTATTGGATACATCCACCATGTGACAAGGTGCACTCTGTCTCACGATCAATGGATATATACAAGAGGCCATTGGGTACATCAATCTTCTGGCAAGGATAACTGATTGCGGGGTCAATGGATAAATATAGCGTGGGACTTGGAGCCCTGATTGTTGGGGCCAATGGATATCTACATGTGCAATGGATAAATCCAGCAGCCCTAATACTCGAGTAATTGCCACGACTAGATCCAGATGCAGAGCCCCCATCCTTATATTTTTACCGTCTCCCTGATTATCTGTTCAGGTGCTGAAGTTATACATTATCTGCGAATATAAGCGGTTAACCAAAGGCCGCCAGTTGGTTTCCACTTATTGAGGTATAATTTAGACCTAATAGTAGCGTGAAGCTCCATTATGGTAAATGTTTAGGGCGAATTTCGTAGCCAGATTATAGTGATCGCTGGTAGAAAAAGATCCGCAGCAATTTCACGTGGCCTATCACATGACACTATACAAGGTTACCTTCGCTATACACACGTGCAAATCGAACGAGGAAATAATGTCATAAATATTTTGTGCACAGCTGCGCAGTTCGTGGCATGACAGCAAAATAATATGCTTTGTAGCACACTAAAGCTGGTGCATGCACTCAGTGAAATAAAAGGATCTTTGTCCTAATAGCGATACATATTTTGCACCCGTGTGTGTCGTCCTGACCAATTGCTTGGTCCTCACAAGGAGGTATCAGTGCTACGTCAGCTCTCTGCTCGTGCTTAGAATAAGGAAAAGTGTCACTACTTGTACAGTATGACCTACTCATTATCCTTGTGTATGACCTACTCATTATATGACCTACTTATAAGGTACTATGACCTACTCATTATCCTTATGACCTACTCATTATATGACCTACTCATAAGGTACTATGACCTACTCATAAGGTACTATGACCTACTCATTATCCTTATGACCTACTCATTATCCTACCTACTCATTATCCTTGATGTGATGAATCACCACCATTCAAGACGGTGATGGTGTCGTGTTTACCGGCGCAGCTGACAGCGCTTGGCAAGCATACTCTCATCTCCCTGCCAACGCGCGTATATGAGGCCGC